TTAAAGTTAAACCTTCAACATTAGCAATCAGCGTCGCCTATGGGCACTCGCGGGAGAGTTATAAGTGCATTTTGGGGTTTGTTCGTAAATGGGAAGTTACACAGCGAAACAATACGGAAGCGTTGCTTCACGCCTTCGACTTTGAAGGACAATCTGTATAACTAACCCTTGGTAATATTATGTTACCACCAATTTCCTTGTTTTGTATCGCCTTTCTCAGTAACTTTAGTTCAGTAGAAAATATAAAAGCTTTTAAGATTTGCACTGTATGGCAAATTGAGTTGTTAGTGATGGAGCGATACAATCGATGCTGTGTTGCAAACACTTAGGAGACACACAGACTTATAATACATTTGCTGATAGTACATTATTAATAATATTACCATTAAGCAATACTTGGTATGAACTAAATAATTTATACTGTGCTAAAAGGTCGGTTAAGAAATTTCCAAAAAAAATATTGATTGATTACCTTAACAATCTCTTTTTTAATTACATATCAAACCAGGAATCTTAGTCAAAACAATACAAAATAACAGATTAACTAATCTATATTCAAAACATATTTAAAAAGTAACATCTACGAGCTGCCTTCACTCATAATTGTACCGTGCAAACTAGCCAGTGTGGAGCTATGTATTATCCAGGCTATAGCTATCTTTGTGCCAAATTTTATTCAAATCCCTTGTGTACTATTTAAGTGAAAAAATAACAAATACAAACTTTCGCGTTTAAATATCAGTAGAATATATTTCCATTTCCTCCTATGAACTTTAGTATCGAGTGCAAAGATAATCAAGGCAAACTTATAAGTAACATTTTCACATCATCCCGATATTACAGGTGTATATCAATCCATATTTAATTATTCAGTCTTGCGAAAGGCGCTTGTAGTAACAATTAGTTTAATTAATGCCCTCAAGACGTGAACACTATATTTCGAAGCGCAACGTAAGCAATTTATACTCTCAAGTATAAATATTTGTTGCATATCGGATGAGAATGCTACGAATCATAGGATATGGGCTTACAATCTAATTTTATACACGACTAGCTTTTGCTTGCGACTCCGTTTGCTTGTAATAGTGACTCCCTGCAGATTTTTGGTATGAAAACCTTCCTATGTCCTTTCTCGATTTCCAAACTAAGTCTGTACTAAATTTCACAGAAATCGGTTCAGTAGTTTCGGCGTGAAGAAAAGACAGACAGACCGAGTTACTTTCGTATTGGATTGGTGCACTAGCAAGATATATGTCGCTGCTAGGCAACGAGTTGTGGGTTTAATAGTGAGGGATAGCATTCTTTGTGGGATCCATAATACTCGTGGTGGATCCAAGGTAAAGCGTTCAATTCTCATACAAGTCGATACAGTTACAAAAGACCTGGCCAATACCAATATGACTTCAAATCAAATCAAATCAAAATCATTTATTCCAACTAAACCATAAATAGGTACTTTTGAAACGTCAAAATAGAATAGTAGTCTGTCAGTCTGTTCGTCAGTGAAGCTAGGTGCTTCTTCCTAGTTATATACTTTTTAAGTTAATTTAATGTACAGTGTAAAGAAAATATCATAAGGAAACCTTAACTTACTATATGTAACTAGCAAGCCCAGCCACGCGTTGCTGTGACTAAGGTAAATAATATTGTGACTATAAATTGAGATGTAAGCTATCTTTCAAGTTGGATCAAAATGCACACGGAATGCAAATCAAATTTAAAATCGGTTCATTAGTTTAGGAGTCCATCGCGGACATACACGTGATACGAAATTTTTATATTTAAAGAAGATTTTATTTATAAAATAAATACAAAAGACAAAAAAATATTTTTGGGGATACAGCTGTCGGCTGGGTTTTTTAGGGGAATATTTTTTAAATTCGCCATAATAGTCGGTATATTATTTGTATGATATATATGTAGTAAATTATTATAATAATTGCTTATAGAAATAATAATAATTATGTTTAAATCTTAAGTCGGCCTTGCACGATGAGGATTGCTCAAACCTTCTCTTTATGAGAAGAGGCCTTTGCTCCACTATGAGAACTTATAGGCTTATGATGTGCTCCATAAATTGTTGTTCCAGGTCTGGATGAGATTGCGTGGCAAGCGCAACGACCGAAAAAATTTACATTATTTTCGAAGCTGCACCCTTGAGCTTGAGAAGCGAGAGCCTCGAACTCCGGGCTACGACAACTATTTGAAGACAGTAACTAAACGAAATATTATGATAAAACTCAATTAAACCAGTTTTTCTGATGAGTGATGACGTAGAAATCTAGTTTGTCAAGTTGACGAGGCATCGTTTTTATGGTAATAAAACATTTTATTTATGTAATTTTTTTTTATTCACTTTTTATACCTGTTTATGTACTACTGTATACTATAATATACATAGATACATAGAGGTTTTAATGTTATTTTTTATGTAATAGATTAAGCAATCAGCGCCGCCCATGGACACCCGCAACAACAGAGGAGTTACGAGTGCGTTGCCGTCCTTTGGCGGATTAGGGATTTGGATTTATTGGAAGGGGTAGATTGGGCCTCCGGTAGCCTCACTCACACGGCGAAACACTACGCCATGGTTGTTTCACGCCGTTTTTCTGTGAGGCCGTGGTATTACTCCGGTCGAGCTGACCTTTTCGTGCCGAAGCATGGCTATCCCACACTTCACACTATTTTGTTTATTCTTCATTCGATAGTTTTGTTATTTGTCCCCGATTGTAAGATGAAATTACACTGATTTACAAATTCAGCCTGACATCCACAATGATATGAGACCAAACCAACAAAAACCTGACTCAAGTCAGAATCGAAAGCGACAAAAATATTCGATTAAAAAATACAAATTTTTTCAATAGTAATTTGTGAAAACCTATAGGTACAGCTAAAATTAGAAAATTTATTTCATTTGTGACTTCTAAAATAAATAGCAATACTCTTTTTTCATTCAGCCATTTAAGTTCCATAACTTTTTTGTTTATTTTTTTTTGTTTTTTTTTTGTTTTTTTTGGTTTATTGTCCAAATAATGTTATGTTAATACTGAAGTAGGTATTATATGTATGAGGAACCTAAAAATATCGTAAGCGAGAGCCACTCCTCTTTGCAATTTATAGCTAAGACTCTGATTGCTCTATTCAAAAAATCAAAGGACTAAACGCAGTTGTTACTCATTAATACGTCATTAAGTGTGGGAGAACCATGTTTCTGCTTGGACGGGTTCAGCCGGAGTTATACCACGACTTCACAGAAAACTGGCGTGAAACAAAGCTTGAGTTATGCTGTTTGTTCTCTTATTCTCTAATCCCTAAAAACCCCTCAATGTGTGGAAACGCACTTATTGTATAGGTTTTTCACTTTTTACTCATCTAATCCTTTGGGATTGATGAGTAAAAATATGTTTTTTAAATATTTTTCAGCTTTTTTGTATTTATGAACGATCTAAGTAGATTTTTTTAATTTAATTTTCGGTAATGCTGTTGCCTATTTTGTGGCTGAGCTCAGACCACCATCGCAATCACTTAGAAAATACTTAATATTAAAACTGACAAAAAATCACGCGGGCTCTTTTCGAATTCATTTTAAACAAAAATAAACCCAAACTTGAACACTAAAAAAATTGAGTAATTAAATAAATCGAATTCTTATGTGACTGTTAAATAACAGGTTTTTCAAACGTAAGTAAATATTATACAAATGTTTTAAGCGTCAAGTGTGGATGTAAATAGTTTCTGTAGTAATGAAAATACATTGTAAAATACCTAATGATGTGGTAATGAATGACTTTAACATCATTCATTCAGCGATTGAATACCTAATACAGAATAATTTAAAGGTTATTCGCAATCGCACACAAAAAGTATAGAAAAAAACATCGTAAAATAGCTACTATGAGTTTAAAATTAAGATTTAGTTTTCCTTAAAAATATTTGACTAGAAAAATGCAGACAAGTGGTGGTAACTGCACCTATCTCGCGGTTTAGAGGGGCAATGAAACGGTGCAAACATGCCTATCTAGGCATTGCATTGTTTTAAGCTTACTTCATAGAGAACTAAAGCCAACTTTACCAAACCACTTAAATAAGTAAGTTTTTCGGAATCAATCATTAACAAAAATAAACCACACTTTGCGGTGATCGATCCGAATGATTGAAACCAGTTTTATAATATACTTTTTTTTACACACGCGTACTGGCAACAACAATTTAAAATTTAGCATTATGTTTTTAGTTCCGACTTATTTTGCTTATTGTACTGACCTCATTTAAGGCTATAATGACAGATACAAGTGACTTGGCTTCGATTAAAATTAGCGTACGTAAGGTAACTGTTGTAACCATACACCGGTAGGTAATAGTTTGCAGTTGTAAAAGTGGCAATGAGACAATCAGCATTTTATTGACACAATTGGAAGTTTATTGTACCTATACGCGAATGTAACACACGCTACAATACTTTTATTAGTACCCCACTGACTTATACTTAGCTAAATAACACAAATTTGTTTTATAACTGGGTTAACCTAAACTTTATCGACATCAAATAATCGTTTTATCAACTGATAGACACCTAGACACACTTTACTCCAATATATGGCTACTACACTATACCGCGAAAGTCTGTAGATAAATTATTTAAAGATATTATTTAAGTTGGTAAGTTATAATTACATGTCCCTCCGAACTGTCTGTGTAAATTCTTTTATGTAAAATTCAAACAAGCTCGAACTGAACCATCATAAAGTTAAAATACGTTCAGTTGTTGCAGAAACCGGCTCTGACACCTTATACCTAGTTGTTATTTTAACTTAACCAATATTCAAACAAAACACAAATCTTTTGTCTCCATAAAATGAGTCAGGCACACAATAAATACAAAATCGCAAGGTCTAGACTAAGCGAAGTCGAAAAAAAAAGTTTTGCAAAGTATTTTTCAGAAAGGCCGCTGGCTGGTTGTAAGCCGGCTTTTTGGTTAACTTCGAAGAAACACTTACCTTCAAGACTGTTGCCACGAGGACAAGCAGGAGGACCGCTAGCGGGGTTCCTCCGGACCTCATGGTGGTCCAAGAAGGAAGGAAGACGAGTGTTTAGAAGTTAAGTCCGATGACCGGGAAGCGCGTAGGCGTCGTCCGCGCCGTTCCACAGTCGGACCGCGAGTGATGCCCGCGGCCCGCTCCGCTACGCTCCTCCGCTCGGCTCCTCTCGTAAGCGTAACTTTTCGTCCTAAGTCCAGAAGCGCACGCAACGCACCGAACATTCAAGCCTGCAGCGCTTCCTACGCAACCTCGCGATGCGCCGGCTAACCCACGCCGATGCAGCTTCTATAATGCACCTTTACATTATAATACTAATTGCGTTTCTACTGATCTTTTTATTATTTTTAGTGCTAACCTACATTAATTTGTTTGCTTATCAATTATTATGCGGTGTGGATTGCAACTTACTTCACGTTTGCATATATTATCTAGTACGAAGAAAAATTCTGCGTCTCGTTCCCGCGCGAGCCCTACAAAGTTCTTTGACCCCTCTCCTGCGCTTATCACAATGCCGCAATCATAAATCAAGAACGTCTTATGTTTAACCGTTGTGTACGAAGAAAAATATTCATTACGACGTTGGTATAGAGTTCGGAATGTAATAATAAAAGTTGGTAGTGATTCAAAATGATATCGCTACTATTTACTCATTCGTCGCGACCAATTCCTTAGTTCAGTTCTTTGCACATTTAATTTTGTAAATTAATATTATGTTATTATTATATCGTTTTAATGATAAATTTATATAAATAAAAAAATCTTATATGTCAGAACCGAAGATTAATTCTTTTATTTAATTTTTGATTGATAAAGACATAAAAAAGTAATAGCTAAATTGATAATTTCTAATTCCTTTTTCCTTATTTTTTTCAAATTTGTATAATGTTTAAGATTTAAAATATAGAACTACAAAGCTAACTAAATTGTCATAATAGCTCGTATGGTACGGTCTCTTTACCCTCTCAAGGTACAGGTGCAAAACCTGGTAGATTCCAATGTGACTTTTCTAACCCATTTACACCATCTTTAAATTCTGCTAATAGACAGGTAATATTTAGCACACCGTGAGGAAACCTGGACTGATAATTTCTAATCTTAAGTTTGAAATCGCCAATCCACTTTTATCAAACGTGGTGATTAATACTCATTCCTTTAAAGTGGCCTTTTCTCTACTTTGGGACGGGTTTATGGTTTATTATCATCATGATAATAAACCTAATATATAACATTACATAAAACTTTTTATTCCCCGAAAATTTTAAAAGAGGTGGTGCATGTGGCTCTTAAATGAATTACACATGAGAAAAAAATATTAATGAGATTGTAATTTCTAATTTTGAATTTATTAGAAGCGGCCTCTTATGGTTCATGAGCCACCAAGATATAAATAGAACCTTATTTTTCTGTCTTCTATCTCTTTTCTATTATAAAAATGAATCAAAAACTGTCGATGAGCGCAAATCTCGAAAATAGCTTCACCGATTTCGATGATTCTTTTTTTTACAGTTAGGAGAAGATACATGTGAAAGAAAAATTTAGAGAGGAATATTAGGAATTAGCGACCCATTCGTCGTAAACAAGATAAATAGCAATACAATTATGTTGATTTTCAAACCTTATTTTCAAAAGAAGAGTTATCAAATAACTAATATTATAAAGAGGTAAAATTTGTAAGTTTGTATGTTTGTAAGTTTGTATGTTTGTATGTTTGTATGTAGGGAGTAATCTATGGAACCGTTGCCCGGATTGTCAAAATTATTTAACTGATAGATAGCTACAATGTTCCGGAGTGCTATAGGCTATAAAACATCACGCTAGGTACGATTAAATGGAGCTGAGCAGCGGGTATAGTCGGTTCAGTACCTAATAGTACACAATAATACACCATTGTAGAAAATTCCGATCCGCGAATCGTGTCACACTGTCATACTAGCGAATACTATTACTACGAGACTATTCAGGTTTACTATTCTCATATCAAGTTGTGCAAAGTTGACTGCACGGTTGAAACAGTGGCAGGGCAACTAGCTGCCGTGCAACGTGTCGCAGCTTCGATTTCCGTACGGAACAACACATAGTGTGACAACCACAAATTGGTGTCAATTTGGTATTAACACCAATGATTTGTTGGTATTAATTTTAGTTACCTAAAGCTGAAGCTGATTAAAATTAAGATAAAAATAATAAAGAGGACTGCAAGAACAGGAAATTGAAAACAATCAGTGGTATAAGTACTTTTAAAAAAGACATCTAAATACTAATACCACGCTTTTAGGCATTCTTCGTCTTTACTAGAAGAACTTGATATCTCTCATGAGCACTAACTTAATGTTCCCAAGTAAATAGATCAATGTTCCATCAGGTAGCTTCATACTCTACCTACATACAATGACCAAAATTCTTGATAATACACCAAAATTAAATAAAACCTCAAATTTTTTTCACTGTTTCATTTATTAAACTTTAAACATCATTATTTAAACTCCGTGTGCTGTAACGAATACTCTGAATGGGAAGATGTTCTTATCTGTCATATTTGACAGTTGACAGCGTCAACATGACAACTAGTGCTGCAACCAATACAGATTTTAATCAAATGGACTAGAGACGATCAATTAGTTGATTTTAGTAGTTCGCAACTAACATCTTAGGTATTTTTCGAATTTTTAAAAGCAATAAATAACTTGGACAAAGCTGCATTCTATACAGCCAGCCATATTTCCCAATTTGAGGCTGTAACTAAGATTTTTTCTTTAAGCCCCTATAAAACTTTTGCACTCGCAAGATTGGATTTCATGACCATATTTCGCCCAGCAATCAAACATGAGAACCCACAACCAACAAGACAGTTCAATGAACCAATGGACCAAATTTCATAAAATAATTTTGTTTTTTGTTCAAGTTGTAATTTTAGCTGAATAATTTTAAGAGTAAGTAATCTGTGTTGTGATAAGGGGCTACAAAATTAGGTTAAGTGACAAGAGGTTAGGTTAGGCTATCGGCTGCCATCTTTCTGTTGTGATTAACTCTGCTTTCATGTGTAGGTATGTTGACAATTAAAAGTTTGATGTCTCTTTGACATGTTGCAGAAACTGGATTTTTAAAGCGTGATCCTCCTTCATGAATGAGAGTATTCATCATTCTTACGAACATACATTTAATTCATTAAAGTGTTGGAGTGCCATGCTTCTGCACGAATGATAAGGCCTAGAATACCGCCGTGAAACAACGGCGTGTTTTGTCGTGTGTACGAGATTACTGGAGGACAATCCTTTCCCTCTCCCATCTATCCCCAATCCCTAAATTTTGTTTACGTGTCCATGGGCGGCGCCGATTGCTTACCATCATTTAATGCGCCTGCTCATTTTCCAGCGTATTTAAAAAAAAAACACATACCATCACACCCGTGACGCGATAGGTAGCAGCCAGTTGCCAACTCACCAACAAACGTGTAGTTTTTTATTGTTTCCGTTAGATGGCGCTACATATATTCTGTATTGAATCAGGCGTGGATTAAGTTCTCAAAAACAGAAGACAGTAGGTAAACCAAAGTCGTTTAAGCATTTTTTTACTTTTTTTCACACTTTATCTTTTCGCTCTTTAATTTCTTCTGTCGAAGGACTGCTAGAAGAGATAATTATCTTCTCTTATGCACTATATGTGTGTTCAGTAACAATAAATTAACCAATAGATCTCTTATGGTCTTATCTCTTATAAATATTTATATCTTTTAGCGTAACCGCCAAGCTTTTCCTGTTACCATTTGTAAATAAGAGTTAACGGCGGAAACGCAATCTATACCATGGCCGAGTTTGAAGCAGAAGAAGGAACGGGCTGGTTTTTAGTAAGTAAGAATCTGACAATCCCTCTCGCCACATTAAGGGCGGGCGAAGACGGGGTGAAAACCTCTCAAAAAACGACACCGAAAAAATCTTATTGCTCTTTCGATAATTCTCTGTAATAACATGAAGAATATATGATAAATGAAGTGAAGGCATATAATCACCAGAGAAGGAGGCGTTTCAAAATAATAGGAAACATTTTTACGGTATATTTTTAAATAGCAGTCATAGAAAATGTTAAAAAATATATTTAAAAATGAGAAGCTTGAAAAGTGACGTTTTAATACTTTATTCACATTTTATTTCCAATGATCTTACCGTTAAAGCCTTATCTGGATTTACATGAACATTACTAGACTAAAATTAGCGAAAAGGGTTAAGCCGGTCTGGAGTTTTTGCGAGAATAATCAACGAAATACTCCTAGTGGCTATGCTTATTGTACATAATAAATCTAGCCTGCCAAACATATATAGCAATCAGATGCAACCGCTAATGAGGCAATGTGATGTACTTAAAATACTCAATTAATATTTTAACACTAAGATTTAAACATTTATCACTAGTTAACAAACATTTGTGAAAAATAATTAGTTTAAACTTATTTAATTATATTGCAAAGCAGCTAACGTAATCTTATCACCAAATAAAAACAAATAACAATTTATTATTTTATCAATGAGCCTTACCTACCTACTCAAAAAATATTATCAGAATATAAAATATAATATAAGTAAATCCATTATGGCGGATATCGAAATATTATTTTGAAGCGTTCCAAGTTATTATTTAATTAATCATAAACTGGTTTCGTCAAAAGTCTGTGGCAGTGGCCAGATTTAATAAAATATAACTACATTTAATTAAAAAAGTGTATAAGAGCCACAACATATGGGTCGTCTCGAACGGAGTGATAGCACGGGCTCACAGAAAGCCGGCGTGAAACAACCTCAGCGGTGTTTCGCTCTGTGAGTGAGGTTACCGGAGACCCAATTTTAGCCCTGCCCCCATCCCTCCACAATGCTTGAATCCCCAAAATCTCTTATCCCCATAATGCCGGCAACGCACTTGCAACTCCTCTAGCTCTGGCGTTGGGGGTGTCCATGGGTGGCGTCGATTGCTTACCATGAGGTAATGCGCCTGCTCATTTGCAATAGCAATAAAGCTTAAAATGTATTTTAGTGGAATTTGCGTACGCTTAAAGTATAGTCAGTAAAGAGGTAAAATATCGAGAAGCTACTAAACTTTTCAGCCTGTCATTGTCACGATCCACTGATTGAGTAAAGCT